TTTCAAGCATATCTTCTTTGATAGACATATATATCGCACATATTTTGCTATATATACGATTTGTTGGATGTTAACATCAATGTAAAGATCAGAAGTAACCTTGTCATGGCTTTGTGGTTTCGCCAGGATTTAAAATATTCGCGGGTTAATGAAAAATTTTGAATTTTTTCAATACAAAATATATGATCTATTTTACCCGCTAAATATTATCCGATGACCACCCAAATTGGTAGGCTTCTTCCCCGCCTTAAACTCTAGCTACATGCGAAATTCCGAGTCGATTGGTCTCCAATTGCAACCTGTATAGGTACTGCAAAATCCGACATTTTTTCAGTATTTGGTCCATTTCAACCCCTAAATATTATGCGATCGTCTCCAAAAGCAATAGGGTTCTATTCTGAAATTTTGTGAAGATCGGGCCATAATTGCGACCTGTAGAGTGATTACAAATTAACATGGACAGACGGACAGACGGACGGACGGACATACATAGCTAGATCGACTCAGCTCGTCAAGATAGGAAGATCCATATATACTTTCCTATGTGGGAAATCAATATTTCGTGGTGTTACATAATTTTTGGCCCAATCAAACTTATAATACCCCCAACACATAGTGTTGTAGGGTATAAACATATGATCTTCACCTTAACAAGACAAAACTCGAAACTTTTTTTATTTGTTTCAGTATACTCTGATAAATCATCATGATCATAGACTCACGCTTGAACAACGCTACGAAATTATCCAAATTTGCTTTGAAAATCAGGCTCTAGAGCAGTTGGCAAATGACCCGTTGTTTTATCGCAAAATTGTATTCAGCGATGAGGCGCATTTTTGGCTTAATGGGTTTGTTAATAAGCAAAATTGCCGCATATGGAGTGAGACCAATCCACAAGAGAGCCTACAGACTCCATTTCATCCAGAAAAATGCATCGTATAGTGCGGTTTTCACGCTGGTGGCATCATCGGACCTTATTTCTTCAAAATAAGGTTTCAACAGGATGGCGCTACGTGCCATACGGCGAACGCAACCATCGACTTATTGAAATCAAAATTTGGCGATAAGTTGATTTCTAGAAGTGGACCTGTCAATTGGCCTCCAAGGTCGTGCGATTTGACACCTCTCGATTATTTCCTGTGGGGCTATGTGAAGTCACTGATTTATGCTGATAAACCAGCAACAATTGACGCCTTGGAGGCCAGCATTGTTCGTGTTATTCGTGACATACGGCCAGCAGTGCTCGAAAAAGTGGCCAAAAATTGGACGTCCAGAATGCACTTCGTCAAGAACAGCCGCGGTGCCCATATGCCCGAAATCATTATTATACCCTCCACCATAGGGTATATTAACTTTGTCATTCCGTTTGTAACATCTCGAAATACTCATGTTAGACCCAACAAAGTATATATAGTCTTGATCAGCGTAAAATTCTAAGTCGATTTAGCCATGTCCGTCTGTCCGTATGTCTGTCTGTATGTCTGTTGTAATCACGCTATCTTTCGAACGAATTGAGATAGAAGGCTAACACGTGTTTATTTTTTCAGTAGGCAGGTTAAGTTCGTAAATGGGCCATGTAGGTCCACGTTTTCATATAGCCCCCATATAACAGTACCTCCCAATATTCGGTATTTTGATGATTTTAGCGACATTATTCACGGGAATTGTTTCAACTTTGGTATTTGAAGTTCGAAATGGATACTACAGCCTATGACAGAAAATTGTCTGTGCAACTCCACGTCTTCGTATAGCCCCCATATAACGGTACCTCCCAAAATTCGGTATTCTGATGATTTTAGCACCATTATTCACCGGAATTGTTTCAAATTACGTATTTAGAGTTCGTAATGGGAACTGTGTCTATGTTGGTCCAGGTCTTCGCACAGCTCCGATATAATGGTACCTCCGTATATACGATATTTTGATGATTTTAGCCACATTATTCACCGTTTATTTCAAGTTTCGAATTTGAATATGGTAATGGCTAATGGCAAACAATGCCTATGCAGGTCCACGTCGTATAGACCCCAATATAAAGGCAATATTCGGTATTTTTAAAATTTAACAGAATTTTTAACGGATTTTATTTTTTTAAATTTCCAAATTCGTTCCAAATGGTGGAGGGTACTCAAAGTTTGGCTTGGCCGAACTTACTGCTATTTAACTTGTTTTCAAATGTTAATGTCACGTATTGATCTTTCGAATAAAAAAACAATTTTGATTAAAATTTAGTTTTTTGTGTTACTTTTTACAATTTCAAGTTCTATCGGGCTTAAAAAAACACCCAGTATATATCAACAGGTGAAATGTACAACATTATTTTTCATAAACCACTTATATAGAATGTCGCAAGTCGACCCAACTGAGTCTATGTTATACATAACAAACTAAAATCACGTACATAAATAAGTACATTCATATTTATTCGTTTGTGTGTATCCATGCCGACTTGGGCCGACTACACCTGTTTACTTTCGTTTGCTTGTAAATTATGTATTAATGCATGGAAAGTGTACATAAATAAGTTCAGTCACAGACACATGCACATCGTACTTCGTGTACATTTTGCGGATATTTTCGTTTCAAAATCATGGATACAGACAGAATTATGTTTTACTACAACAGCAACAACAACAACAATTATTACAAACAAAACAACAACAGCGGATTACAGTCTCGTACGGACAACATGAATTTATCTGCAAACTGTTGTTATTGTTGTTGTTGCTGTCAAGTCTTCAGAAATGAATGCTGAAAGCACGTGTATGACGAATTTGTTGTTGCAATTTTTATAGCAAGGTGAAAAAACTCCACATTGTTCTCAGAGAGCACGTGCACGCTGACTAACATGAATATCTCTCACCGGACTGCAAAAAATCAACCCTCATGAGAATTGTCGCTCCTCTACGCAAATGCGAAACTAATCGCATTCGCCAACACATATTTCGAATGACATTCATTCACTGGAAGCGATGTCCGACATAATTTCACAGATTGCTTTCGCATTCAGACAGTGATGAGAACTTGGGTGTTAGTGATGTTAATATCTTATTATGTTGTGTGTTACCATCTCGATTCACACTGATTTTTATGAGTAACCAGGCTAAAAGTGGACACTTGTCTTAAACAAGGATGCAACAGTCAAGAAATTTGTTAAGACAAGTTATCTGCATGTTTGCTCAGTTACGAAAAACCGCTTGAGTCAACAACGCTTTGAAAGTAGGATTCAAAATCTGAAAGAAAGGCCTCCTTTATGCTCCCTGGCAGCCACAAAGACTGTGATGTCTTCAAGTTAATCATTTATATAAAAAATCAGAAATCATTGTAAATTTCTTACATTTCTCTTGCTACTGGAAGAGGACACGATGGCTATTTCACAGGAACAAAAACATAATATTTATCCTGGTTTATTTTTGTGTATTTTGAGAGTCATCATTTGAAGTTATATATTGGGCGCCATATTGTATAAAGACAAGAAAGAACAACGAAGTTGGCTGTAGTCCGTCAGCTACTATTTCATAAAGATCTCATAGCGTTCAGGAAGAATCGGGTAGAAACGAAAGGAAACAATGAAAGCGTTACAGAGATCCAAGTGAGCAACTTTTTTTAGAATATTTGGGCGTTAAAATTAATTTCGGATTTCGGTGCATTACTGTAAACAGACCGAAGTTGTGTTAGAACGTAATATATTTTTCGTGGGGAATTCCGATATTTTAGTCTTGTTCCAAGTGGCGCCCAATGCGTATTATTATATTTTTTTTTGGTCATAAATTTTAGTCTTGGGAAAATGTTTTTTGAGAAATTTTAGGATTCTTCAATAACTTCCCAATAGAACCTGGAGTCATGTCGGATGTGTCGTAGAGCTGAATCTTTTCTCATAGCAAATAATACGTCGCCATAGCAAATAATACGTTGCCTGAAGCAATGACCTGACAGTCATAAGCGTATGACACAATCGAATCATATGCTGGGGGAACGGCAGGCTCCGCATGAATAATATTTAATTAATAGGACAAACGAAACAGCTTTAATGTTTTCAGTGTCAGTGATTGTGTGCGTAGCACTTTAGATTCAGAAGTTTTTGTCCCAAGTGGTGCATTTGATGCTATGTTCGAATATTATATCTTTATTTTTAGAGCTTAAGATCTCGGGCTGTCGTTCTTTTCCTTCTTCTGAATTTGATGTTTATTTGACTCCTTGGTCCTTCTAAGAACGGTCAGACTCAAAGTTGGAGACTAATTGGGTTTGGATTGTATCGATTGGGCATTTAAAATAATATTTTATTTTCTTCAGAACAACTGCAAAGTATTTGTCTGGGATATAACGCTCTATACCTACTTAGAAATACTGTTTTGCATAAATATTCCCCAACGATAGAAATCACATTTAAAGGGTTAATAGAGGGTATGAATTGCAACGTTATTTACGCTCTCTCTCCCTTGCAAACTCTCACAAATACCGGCAATATACAGACAAGACACGTGTACCCAACAACATTATGACAACAATGACAACAAACGTGTGTTGTAATTTAAGGGTGGTAATGCTTAACGCTCTCTCGCTCCCTCTCTCTAAAATGCATTCAATCAACATTGGGAAATGAGAATGAGAGAAACATTTGCATTGAGTATTGAAGAAAAAAAACTTTTGCCATAATTTTGAATCACAACAAAAAGAAAGGCGGCTGATTTGTTGTTATGGTATCACACAAACAAACATACACACACACTCACGGATAATTTGCAAAGAGCACAACAAAAAGCCGCCCCATTATTACAAATGTGTAATGGACTACATTTGTTCGTCCACACGAAAACAGCCGCAATGGCAACAACAAAAAGTCACGAGACAGAATAGGAAAGCAAAAAAAAAAAACTTTGAGAACAACAGAGAAAGCCCTTGCTCACACACACACACACACACAGTCATACATGCATGCTCACCGCCAATACACGGACACGCATGCAGAAACCTAAATAAAAAAGCAGGAAAAAAGAGTCATAGTGCAACATCTGCTCCTTGGCCAAACATCAGTACAACGCCAGTCAGTATCCGAAGAAGAACAACGAACCAGAAGAGGAGCAAAAAAATAGTTGCAGACGTTTAAAACGTGAATCAACCAACCAACTACTCCTAAAAAAAAGGAAAAATTATCTATTTTTTGTTTAAAAGAAACGGAATCCGCAAAAGCAAAGTAAAACCTATCGAGAAAAAAGTAGATATTCGAAACAACGTCCTACATTTTTATGAAACTCTACGCTAAGTTTTAAGAAAAAAAAAATACACACTCACATACATACGGGATAGAAATCGAGGCAGAAAACGGCAATTGAAAATCGTAATGCACTTTGCAAAAACGCAGTGAACTTGAAATAAAAGATATTTAAATTACATTTTTAGTATACTTGTATCTGTTGCAAAAAAAAAAAAAGAAAACACATACCTATCTACCAACAGACGGAAAGAAAAACCATATGTGTGACATCGGCATCTGTAATCTAAACTGTACGCACTGAATCCCCCTATAGTTTGTTGGGGTACCCCGCACATTTTCATTTCTTGTCTCGTTTTGTTGTTTGCCTGCCAGCCTGCCACGGACAGCGAATTTCCGAAAACCCCAAAAGACATTTGGCTCCATTCAAGTTAAGGGTGTGAGTCTTGCTGTCTGTCTGTCTGTTTTATGTGTGTCTGTGTGTGTGTGCGTGAATCTGTGAGTTTTGTTAAATGTGAAATTGGTGTTGAAATATAAAAGGAAAATAAAAATTATAATACCTACTCATCACAGCTAAGCTTCTATCTTCAAAAAAAAAAAAGAGTATATATTACCTTAAATCAAGGACATAGAGAAATCATCATACGCTCCCAAGTAGAGTCGAAACAACACCACTTAACAGCAACAATAACAACTAATTCAAACCAAAGCTGAGTCACGCAGTGTTCAGCAACAACAACAGCAACAGTGAAAATTGTTCGGAAAAAGCCTCATAAACCATTAAGGCAACCAGCCAACACACATTCGATATCAAAACACGCGACTTTAAACACCACATCACTCGCTAGTTCGCTTGTCGTTCCAAAGCCGAACACAAACTACAGTTGTGTTTTGTGAAAAATAAAGCAAAAAAGAAAAATTGAAAAAAGAAAATCAATCTTCAGACAAAAAAGAAAACGGAAAACCTCAACACTTCAAAAAAAAGGAGCAGAAACTCTAACCTCTTCAACCGACCAATCAATCTTTTTTTGAGTCAGGCCAATTGGAGGTGCTCCGGGGGGAGTTGAAACACACCAAACAACTGCATACCGAGCATAATAAAAAACAAGTCCAACTTCCTTCGATTTCGCAAACAACGAACGGAACCAAACAACAAGAACAACAAAACAAAAACTAAAAGGCAAAGACAAACAGCCTCCCGTCATCTCCAAACACTGTAACGGCCGCCCTATTTAAATATCAACAACATACCTATTTGGATTATTCAAAATTACTTAAGTAAAATTAATTCTTACAAAACCAACCAAAAATTTGTTTTGAAACCAAACAAAAAAATCTGTGATTAAAAAAATATAAAAAATAAAAGTATATTTTTTAATACTGCACCCTTTACTCAAAAATTTCGCCATACGTTTTTTGTGCACTTTTTTATTTTGATAATAACAACTACCAAACACTACATATTTAATTAGAAACAAAGAAAAAAACAAAAACAACAAATAAAATAAAACGAAAACACAACAACTGCAACTGCAACACAGGCCAAAGGAGCAGAACAGAACAACATTTGCAGCAGAGCAGCAGCAACATCACAAAAAAAAAAAACTGACAACCAACCAAAGACATCCCACTTTTTTTCCTCTCACTCGTGGCATTCTTAGCCAAAAGTTTATTTGTAAGTACAATAATTGTCTTTGTCGTCCCTTTTTTTATCAACATCTCTTTATCCACTCGCTCACTCACCTGTGTGTATTAACAAGAGGTTTTTTATTTATTTGTTTTTAAATGTATTTTATTTTAAATGCAACCCAGCGAAGTGAAATGACAGTTTTTTTAAATAAAATTGGCATTGTTGGTGCCATTTCTATGTCGGTTTAAAGATCTTAGGAAAGTGATTCTAAATTTGGTAAAAGGTGGCCAAACCAGTGATATAAAATCCACTGCTAGTGAAAATATGTGTGCTCTCAAAATTATAAATTTTTCAAAATAATGGAAGAAGTTAAAAAAGAGTGATAAATACATTTCAATATCAGTAGATTATTTCAAGGTACCCCCCCAAGTCTTTAGACGGTTTAAACGTCTCCATTGTGTTAATCGAATTTAAACTGCTTACAAGGGACTCGGTCCTTGCAATTTAAACGCGTAAAAAGGCAGCTAAGTTCGGCCGGGACGAACTTTTAATACCCTCCACCATTTGGAGGGAACTTAACATTTTTCAAAAAACTTCCGGAAACTACCACTTAAATCAAAACTGTTATAGCGACATTTTTTACCATGGACTGTACCCATTATGTACTTCAAATACCAGATTTGAAACAATTCCGGTGTATAATGTCGCTAATGAAAATACCGAATATCAGGAGGTACCATTATATGGGGGCTATATGAAGATGTGGACCTGCATACAAAAATGTTTGTCATAGGCTGTAGTACCCATTACGAACTTTAAATATGTAATTTGAAATAATTATGGTAAATACTGTCGCTTAAATCATGAAAATACAGAATATCGAAGACGTGGACCGACATGGTCATTCCCATTTACGAACTTAACTTGCCTACTGGTAAACTATGCGTGTGAGCAAACTTTTAGCCTTCTACCTTAATTCGTTTAAAAGATAGCGTGATTACAACAGACAAACGGACAGACAGACAGACGGACATCGCTAGATCGTCTTAGAATTTTATTATCAAATCTTCTAAAATACCAAATATGAAAAATTTACCGAATGTCGGTGGGTATCGTTATATGTGCGCTATAGAAAAAAGTGGAACTAATTATTCAATGTTCTGTCACCGGGCTAGAACCCATTATGAACTACAAATACCAATTTTTATTAAAATGTCGAATATGGACATTTTCGTGGGAAATCATAAAAATACCGAATATCGGGAGGTACTGTTATATGGGGATATACAAAAACGTGGACCTATACACACAATGTTTCGCCACCGTAGCTATAACCCATTATGACCCACAGATAACAATTTTTAGACAAATTCGTGGGAAAATGTAATAAAAATCATCAAAATACCGAATATCGGGAGGTACCGTTATATGGGGGCTATACCAAAACGTGGACCTATACATGCAATGTTTCTCCACTAGAACCCATTATGACCTACAAATACTAATTTTTAGACAAATGCTCGAAAAAATGTTTCTTCACCGGAGCTATAACCCATCATGACCAAAAAATTTAAATTTTTAGATAAATCTGGGAAAAAATGTAACAAAAATCATCAAAATATCGAATATTGAAAGGTACCGTTATTTGGGGACTATACCAAAACGTGGACCTATACATACAACGTTTCGCCACACAGCTAGAACCCATTATACCCTAAAAATGCCAATTTTTAGACAAATCCCTGAAGTAAAGTGGCAAAAATCATCAAAATACGCGAATATCAAATCGGTATAGATTTGGATATAGCCCCAATATACATTTCTGGCCGATTCCATATATTTGATGCATTAAACACGCTGTGTACGCAACATTTTAATGAAATTTGTAATGTGTAATGGAATTTGTCTAAAAAAATTGCTTTGATGCACCAAAAACGCTATGTATCTCTAATCCAAATAAAATTTGGAATGTGTAACGGAATTTAATACGAACATACATTTGCCAAATTATATTGAAATCGGTACAGATTTGGATGTAGCTTCGTTTATTTGATGCACCAACACGATACTTATGTCCGATTCCAATGAAATTTGACATGAGTGACTAAATTTGGTACAAAAATAAGTTTGTCAAATTATATTCAAATCGGATCAGATTTGGATATAGCTCTTATATTTATTTTCGGCCGATTTTACATATTTGATGCACCCAACGCGAATCCTATTCCAATGAAGACGAAAGAGAGACGAAATTTGGTACAAAAAAATAGCCAAATTATATTTAAATTGGTTGAGGTTATGTATGTTATGCACCAAACACGATATGTATGTCCGATTCCAATGAAATTCAGAATGTATGGCTGAATTTGGTTCCAATAATAAATTTGAATTTGAAATTACTGAATTTGTCTTATTTGCTTTTAACCCAACAAATATTCCTATATAAAATTTTGAATGCATATCAAATCAAAAGGGGTAGAGAAGCGCACCGGGTTCAGCTAGGATAATATATATGGTGAGCAATAACCGGAAGAAGATTTATATCGAAGCTATATAAAAATCTGAACCGATTTCGATATCATTTGGCAGAGATATTTTCGGCCAGTATCTGATGTCCGGTATCAAATATCATTGTTGTGGAGTGCATATTACGCATATGAGGGACTTCAACAGTAAATCGGATAAAACATAAACATAAGAGCTATAGTTACAAAATTACATTTGGTGCACAAAACCCTGAAATCGGATGAATATGAATATGGGAGCTATATTCAAATCTGAACCGATCTTGACAAAAGTTTAACCACTTATTTCTGAGCTGTATCTGATATCTGGTACTAAAGATTCTTTTTGTGAAGTGTTGAAAACGTTATTCGTTTGTAAGACAATTCATGCTTTAATTATTGAGCAAACTGAAGATATTTTACAGTAAAACAAAACACGGAATGTGCGTGAGCTGTTAAACTAGTATTGCTAAAAAATGAAAGCGAAAAAAATCATCCTTTACAATGTCTTAAACTTAAAGTTTTCTTGAAAAGAATTCCGTTCAAAATAGATGAAATATATGAATATATATTTTCATTTCATTTTGGACCACTCCACAATTGATATATATTAGCCTTAATCAGCCTTTTTATCGCCGACACTTTTACTGGGAAACAAAGATAACAAACACATAGTTGTACATATGTATGTTTGTACATACATACCCACGAGAGGGAATGTTGGGGTTGATAGAATGCACCAAACACATGTTCATGTCAATAATAATGCAGTGCGAATGCAAATTATGGCATTGTTTTTGATTAATTGTTGTTGTTCTTTTTTCGTAGACTAGACTTGTTGTTGGAATAGTCATAATCGTGTGTGTACCGAGATATCACTTGTACGTACAGCTGTTGTGGATTTGTGGAGATTTTTCTCTTTGTGTGATGCTCTTTGAGCCCAGTGTGTGATGCCCAGTGAGCGTATTTTCGGAAAACTGTAGGACTTTGATTTTTAAGAAAAAATATTAATATTAAATGAATAAAAATATTTAAAATGTATTTCAATGCATCCATTATTTATTCATTTTACAAGAAATTTGCTTCTTTCTAACAACCCTAAATACCAAATAATAACCATTTCCAAAAGTGTTCAACGCTATATACCTGGAAAAGGCCAGACCTTTATATGGGGAAACATGGAACAAAACGTGTACCAATTTTGATTTCTTTTGTTTTTTTTTTGTCGATCAGAATGCCAAATTCCAAATTTTAGCCAATGTCATTTGAAAACATGGTCCAACCCTTCAAAATGCCTAGATTTTTTTTACTGCACAGAAAGAGAAAGGATAATCTAATTTTGCTCAACTTTACAAATCCTGATATTTGTATCAGTGCTAGGTCAGGCGTGAAAATGGATAATATCGGTCCACTCCATCAATTACCTCCTACACAAAGGGTCCAAATTCTGAATAATTATAACTCTTATAAAATGCGATGTAAGTGTAAAATACACACCTCATAATATTATTATTAAACAAAGGTCTGGTGTGAAGATGGAATATGTGAGTCCACTCCTTCTGGTCAAAATTTTGAATATTCATGAAGGTCATAAAACACGAAATTAATATCCGATTCCATTCAGACTTGGCACATCTAAATATTTCCATAAACACTAGATATTTTATAAAGATGGTACAGATCGGACTATTTCTTCTTCCCACTTAGGCTTCAAGATTTTGAGAAATCAAACGCTCAAAGAAAGCGAAATAAGCATCCAACTCTCTTCTATATATATCTGTGAACCCCTTCTGGTACCTCACCCACAAAGGGTCATAATTTTCAATACTTTTATCTGTCATAACTTGAGAAACAAGTCAGCAATTTTTTACAACTTGCTGTATCTAAATATTTTTCTCAATATAAATGTTAGAATTTTTTGTTATTTTGTCCATACCAAGATTTTTATCTGTATTGGATGAAGTATGAAAATGGAATACATCGGTCGACTATATCTGGTACTTCTCGCACATTTTAACATTTTCTAAAAATTATAACATATCTCACATAAAGTGAAGGAAATGACCTATATAGTCCAAACCTGGCCCGTCGCAATATTTATATCACATTTATTAAGGTCCGATAAGAAATGAACAATATTGGCCCATTCCTTCGGAACCTTCTCCATAGAGTGTCAACAATAACAGAAGTCAAAATATATTTAAATAATCGAACATTGGCTGAGGATATACATCTGTCAAAAACCGACAACCTTCAAGATCATGAATATTTTTAAAATCTTTTATTTTCTCACTTTCATCATTAGGAAATCGCAAGAGGTTCGATGCAAAAAAGACAGGTGTGATTGTTATCGCTTCGTTGGCTACAATAGTTTCCCAAAATACGCTTCTATTCATGGCCAAATATTTTTTTTAGTTTTCAATGTAGCGTAGCTTTTTCCTCATCCGCCTAGATGGACGAAAACACAGCATTGTTATTCCTAAAAAAAAAAAAATACCATGCGTTCCCAAAAATTCCACACAGACATTTGCACTTTAAACG